TTGGGGCAGATCATCTTTTAGACCCTGCCCACTCTCGTTTCTCTAGAGTGTACTTTCTCTTTCACGAAGCCCGTTGTTTCTGAGCTTGCCGGCCTTCTTTCCAGAGAGTGTATTTTCACTTTTATATTAACAAGTAAGCCACTATCACTAGCTTGACTTCTTGTGTGCATCCTGAAACGAAGGAAAAAACAACCCTGAAAATGAGTGGTCTAAATGTCCATGTTAAGAAGTTAGGGAAAGAAAAGTAAATTTAATACAAAGCCAATTATAATACATAAATAAAATATAAAAGGCATAATCAGCAAAGCCACATATTGGCTCTTTGAAAAAGTTGAAAGATTGATAAGCTCCTGACAATATTAATTTATAAAAAATGAGAAAGAATAAATAAATGGGACCTAATCAAATTAAAAAGCTTCTTCACAACCAAGGAAATTATCACCAGAGCAAACGGACAACCTACATATATAACATATTAGGAATTCTTGTCCAACAGGTAAATTTTAAATTTTATCCAAATCAATTAGAAACAACAAAAACTATTAGAAATATGGATAAAGACTAAACATTTATAACGGAAAATTTCTAAAGGGCCATGAACAGGAAATACATACACACCAGTTTTCCTGGGATAGTCCTGGGCTGCGCCTACTGGCATTGCTTCCAATTAGTGACCCTCTTCATTCTCAATAATTTATTTTTTTAATCATTATAATATTATCAATGAATATACTTATTTTACTTTTATGAATTTAGTCCTGAAATCTTAACTCAGACCTCTTACATTCTAATCATTAGGCTCTGACTGATATGTCTCTTTTTGGATGCTGTTCTCATTATATCAAGTCTACAATTTACCTGATTTTAAGTAACCACCCATTATCTTTGACTTTGTAGTCACTTTAAGTCACTTTTCACCTAAACTTCTACCTAAGGATATTTTCCCCTTCTATGTTGGGCATGTTTTCTTTCTTAGGCCTAACTGTAATAGATCCCTGTTAATGACTATTTGATTAGTTCTATTATGTGGGCATTATTTTAATCTCTTGAGATATATTTTAATTTTTGTTCATAGTCAAAAATTAATCATCATGGTTTTCTTTATGTTCCTAGGTCTATGAATATATTAGCTACACATTTGAGCAATCTGCATTTGAGCAATCTGGAAACTTCATACACATGCTGTTAAATTACTGAATGAAACATTAGGTGATCAATATATGTTTGGGAATTTATTGATGAATTTAAATATTTTTAATTATATGGCTTGAAGTATAGCATACAATCATATGAAATGAATTGTTATATATAAATGCCCTCTGAAGTATGAGTTACTTAACTTCTCTGTGCCTAGGTTACTTTATTTGTAAAAGGGAGGTAACACCTCAAAGCATTATTTTGAAGATTACATATAGGTCATATAATATAATGCATATAGATCACTCAGAGTACAAATGAGCAAAAAAAAAAAAAAAATCCTGCCATACAGAAAAATTTATTTAGCAGGTATTTAAGTAACAATTTAAGCAAAATTTTCTCAAACTGATGTAGACATGAAAACTTTCTCCAAAATGTATTAATAAGCTCCAGAACTGAGACTTTGTAGGATACACTTTGGGAAATACTGCTCTAGTTATTGCACAGCTTTCCCGTCCTTTGTGTTTGTTGCGTCCTGGAATTATATCTATGACAGCAGAGAACTCACTTAGGTCAACCCTGTAGGTTTTAGAGCCTGTCGTGTCGTGGAACCATTGTCCCTGATTACATTTCACACCTAATCAGAGAAAGAGCATATTTATTTATGATATGTCACTAAAGAAAGTCATTTTCAGCAGTTTTTAAGCCCCTGTATATAGCATAGAGTCCATCTATTCTTATGACATCATTTTGGTGAGCCCAGGATAACTTGGCAATTGAAAAAACTATGATATCTCCTGCTTTCTTCTGCCAGTGTCTCTCTTCTTTTCTTCCCTCTTCTCTCCTGACTGTGCTCCCCTGGGTAAAAATCTAAAACCAGACAACTGTAGCAACAAACAATTCTATTTTCCCCTCCAGCGTATTTGATCTTGATGAAAACTTGCTTTTAAAGGGTGCAAGGTTTCTACAGAAATTTAAGCCTTAACATAAAATATAAAACCTATTTCTAATCAATTTTATAAAGCTATACCATATGTCTATACTGTGTTCAGAGACTATCTTAAAATTAGCTAATTATTTAATCATAAGAATGTCTTCTAAACAAAACTATTAATGTCAAGTACAATTTATAATAATTTTGAATTGTTTAAGTTCTTTTTGTTTTGAAGAATGTCAAAATTTGCAAATTTTAATTTTTGTAAAATTATCTCTTTATGATAGCATCTTAATGGGTAAGAAAAACTTAAAAGTTAACTATTAAGGAGCATCAATATTATGATATTTCATATAAAAATATGAAACAATACAGGACTATTGTTTTCCTCTATCCTGAAAACAGGCAGTGTTCTATTTTTTCTTTAGGAAACATCTTAATATGTGCAGTTAAGGTAATTAATTGATGTTAAATGATATTTAATCTAAGCTGCATTAAAACTAAGCTCTTTTTTTTACTCAAAATGAATAAAGAAATAGGGGCATGAATAGAAACATTCAGCACTGTAAGAGAAGTGTGAGCTGAAGGCTCAGATAGGGTATTTCCCATTTCAAAGTCGCTGAAGTTAAATTTGGAACTCATGTATGTACAGTGACCTCAAAAATTTCAGTAACATTGTGACAAGTGTGTTGGGGAGAGAAATTTGATGTAATGGTTCTTTTCCTGCAATGCTAAAATTAATTTGAGTGTAGCAATTGGAAGTCACAGACTTTTGTAGTAAAGAAATAAAACTGCCAAGGAAGTTCCTGGAGAAGAGTTTAAAAGCAAGGCCAGCTCTAAGGGCACAGCACAGAGGCCTACTAATAACCTACCGGAAGAGAATCGACCCACAAATAGCAGCATTTGCTTCATCTCAAATAGCAACTGCTTCTTTTATAAGTGACACACTTTCCTGAACAAATTTTGGATATAAATTTAGACAACCGGTTGACATTACATGAAATGCTGTACCCCAAAGGCAAACTTTTCATGATCAAGCTTATCTGCATTCCCATTTTAAATATTCCAGTGGGAATATGTACAAACTTTCACCTTCTCAGTCCTGAATATAAGAATTATTTACTTTATTGAAATTCATTATGCAAAAAAGCTGAACTTTTAAAAAGGTTTAATTAATGCCATTTATGAAGCAAGTAATTGATCCTGAGCAAACAGGTCCAGTGAGCAGATTTAGGTTAGATTAGAACATACAGGTGTCAAAGATAAAATTACAACAAATTTAGTGTAAATATCTTGATTGGCTTTTATTTGCAATTCTAGAATCAAGCAATACCTCATTCTTTGTGTGCGTGCGAGTGTGTGTGTGTGTGTGTGTGTGTGTGTGTGTGTGTGTGTGTGTGTTTAGACTTGAAGGTACCTCATTCTTATAAAATAGAATAAGTGCTCCAATGAACCACACAGCAGAGACTGGCTTTATAGGCAGAAAAGGGCCAAAGAATGCAGAAACGGAGAGCAAAAGTGAATTGTTCATTTCAAAGTTACTTTGCTTATAAAGGTTAAAGCAGAGGGAGGACTTCCTCAACATGCCAGCTAAAACTAGCCTGTCAGGGAATTTGGCCATGATTTCTCTCTCTCTCCTGATTTCTTTGAAGGTCAGATAAATAACTGAGTTTGGTTTGATGGTGTGGAACTTCAGCATGAGGGACTCCATTTTGGTTTGGTGTGTCCGGCTTAGTTCAGGAGCTTAGTGGAAACCAATGACCTCCTATAACATTTATTTAACAGAGGTAAAGACGTTGATTTTAATGATGACTGGAGTTGGTTTTAGAATCTCTAGATATCTAGATGGAGTTTTCTGGAAAAGCAGTAGAAGCAAATCAAATTGGTTTTTTTTTGGTTCTTTATAGTTTCTGCATCCTGGAAACTTAAGGGACACCTTAGGTGATCAGTACAAAGTTTTTACAAAACTATCTTCCACTGAAATTCAAGGATTGGACATTGCACCATTGTGGACCAATGAACTCTTAGAAGAGAAAATAGGACAGAGTTTACTTTTATCTTCTTTTGTTCCTCACTGCTTTCATGACTGGCATTACTTTCCTTGAGCCTATGGGAGAATTTATAAGGAGAACCGCATTTGAAAAGGGAAAATAAACCTGTAATCCTAGCACTCTGGGAGAACAAGGCAGGAGGATCGCTCAAGGTCAGGAGTTTGAGACCAGCCTGAGCAAAAGTGAGACCCTGTCTCTACTAAAAACGGGAGGAAATTAATTGGCCAACTAAAAATATATAGAAAAAATTAGCCAGGCTTGGCGGCGCATACCTGTAGTCTCAGCTACTTGGGAGGCTGAGGCAGAAGGATTGTTTGAACCCAGGAGTTTGAGGTTGCTGTGAGCTAGGCTGACGCCATGAAAAAAAAAAAAAAAAGAAAAGGGAAAATAATTACTAAAATAACCTAGTTTGTATTTTGCTAGGACAGATATATCCTAAAATTAGGTTTAAAAGATACCTATATGTGTTTCAGAAATTATGTATTAATCAATCTTTTTGAATGTTGTTTACTTTTTAAGTGATGTTTACAAAACTACTAGCCAAATAAATAAATGATTTCCTAAGAGGCAAATCTGCCAACAAAATTAAGGAAGGTAATTATCATACTTAAATATAATGACTAATGCTGCACCCAAAGGCTTTCTCTGAATCTAAAAAGATTGTTGCAGGAAAGTTTATGAGGAAAAAATTTAAAATGAGGTTTTAATACTTTATTAATTGATAAATATCCAATTACACATTAAAATATTATATTTATCATTTAATATATTTTTAAAAAGATGTTATAATACATTCATTTGAATAATTAATATCTAAAAATCAAATAATGATTATTTATTTTACTATCCTAAGGCACATCAATTCTAGAATGCTCAGATCACAAATAGAATGCTATGTAAGACACAAAAATTACAGATATATAGAAAATGCATATACACATATTAAAAGTGCTTAACTTACAAGAAAGGTATATAACTCAGGAGAATAGCTGAGTCATTGATGTCTTGCATAATGTTTTGGGACACAACGCTACATAATGCTGCAGCAACAAAATGCATAATTTCTATATCAATCACTTACATTTTCAAAACAATATACACTTACATTCTCTGCAGCTATAGATTTGAAATAGTCACCCTAAATAATTGAAGCAGTATTTCCAGGGATATACATAAATCTATTTCTCACAATATAAAAACATTATTTGATCCTAGTTTATAAATAGTTAAGGAACTATGAAATAATGAGAAAGCAAAGGCTTAGAACCAGAGGCCTACCTTTGAGCTACGTGATCTTGGGCAGGAATATAACCTTCTTGAGCCAAATTTCTCTCACCTATAAAAATGGAATAACAATGTCTACCTCATTAAACAATAAGAAGAATTAGGTGGGATAATATATTTGAGCCCACCTTTTAATTTTAAAAATATCTTATATGGTAATATCAATTATTGTTACAATTGTACGGTTGTTACAATTGTAGTTAAAATTAACACTAGCTCCCTTCAAACCCCAAAATTCTGTGTGAGGTGTCAGGAGCCATAATCAAGAGCATTCTTTGGTGATAAGAACAATGGCACTTAGCCAGTTGTGTCAAATAGCACTTAAATGTGGAAGGAGACCATCTTGGCCATTCATACCAATTCTCAAGACTTTCTAAGGTCATCACTTGCTTGAGTAGACATAGATATATGTCTATATCTAGTAGACATAGATAAAGATTAGATAAAAATCTGATTTTAAAACTTGTGGGTTACAAAATCAGTGCAATACATCATCCTGCCAGGTGTCTTGTGCTAAGTTAAGAGCACTAGCTTGGAATGAGTGAGGCCTCGAGGCTTCAAATAGAGATATTTATGCAGACACAGATAAAGCTAAAATCTTTGAACTCCATAAATTTCCCTGAGCCTACTTTTTCATTAGAAGCAACTCCTCCCTATCCTGAGGGAATTGTGCTTCTCTTACATAAAAACTTGGCAATGAATCTACTTAGGGTATTTTTCTTATGAGAGAATGTTGATTCTGTTCAGAATTCAGCCTTAATGAGAGTAAGACCCAGCATAGTGCAGACAGAAAAGCATAAGCTATGGGAAGAAGTGGTATAGATATATTGTAAGCATTGCAAGACTTTACCATTTTTGTGTGAAATAAGGATGCACATCCCCTATCATTAACAGCATACACTGTCCATGTTGTGCCCTGAGGTTTCAGTTACTCATTAAAATCAGTAAGTAAATGGAATCCAGAATGATACAAATGCCTACATTTTTTGCTTCCCTGCTCAAAAGTCATGTACTCTCAGTCCAGTATTTTACAGTTTCAATGCACATAATGAGTGTTTAGAAACCTTTTCTGAAGTTTATTACTTAATAGTGAAAGACACATACAGTTGAGAAAATAAATATTTTTCCTGCTACAATAAAAGTGACTGAAAGAATAAACTGCAAACAATAAGGCCACAACCACGACTTCCTTTCTCAGCCAAAAGTGTCAGTAATCTCACAGAAAACTTTACTAAAGTTATGAAAAAAGTATTAGAAAAAAGCATGCAACATGAAGTTTTGCTATGTAACTGGATGGAGGTACAGGTATTTATAATGTCTCTTATTGTATTTACTAGTTTCTGATTCAATAATGAAAAACAATAAGAACAAATTTGTTTGTAAGCTGGCCAAGCATATCAGGTAAATTGATATACTGGGTAGCACATATATCAATTTCAGAACACCATTTACTGAGAAAAACATAAAAGACCAGAGTAGTAGCAGGTGCAGAGATCACCTGCTGCCCATTTACTCTGGTGTAATGAAATGAGATCTATCCAACTTGGATGTCAGATTTTGGAAGAAGGGCCTTGGTCTTTGGACTACGTAACTTACAAAATCCATGGTTGGAGAAGAACCAGGTCCTTCTCTGGCAAGAACTAAGGAGCGGCATGCATCATACATTCTTTGCTGTACAGTAAGGCAGACCAGGGAGAACACTGGCCTTATTTGCCCCTTCTGCATTCTTAGTTCAGGATACATCAACCCCTTTGATGGCATAATCAAAGACTAGATTCCAAGCCTTGCAAACAAAGATGTGTACTATAGTGAGCCAGTGTTTTCAAGCCTCGATCTACCACCTCATCATGTATTAGAACTGATTATCTTAATCACTAGTTGTAGCCAATTTGATGGAGAAGATTTCAGCTCACAAATGGTCCTGCTAAACAGGAGAACAACTCCCTTGGGAGGTCAGTATGGACATCAATCACTGACATGTTAACTTTACCTCTGAGAGGCACAAAATGAAAGATTCATGGGGAAAATACTTATCTAACTCCAAAGAAAAATAATTTATGGTGAACTAGCTCCTTTAAGTGAAATCAAAAAAGGTCAAGGTGATGAAAAAAGAAAAAGAGAAGAAACTGAAATTACCATAATCAGAAATGAAAAGGAGATATACTATAAATACTGCAGCCATTGAAAGGATAATAAAGGAATATTATGATCAATTTTTTTTCTTAACAAATTCAGCCCACTTAGACTAAGTGGAGAAATGTCTTAACAAATACAACTTACTACAAGTGATTCAAGAATAAATGAAAAAAAACCTGACTAGCCTTATTATGAACTTACGAAATTGAATTCCCAAAATATAGTTCTCATTAAAAAAAATACTTTCCAAGTAGTTTCATTGGTGAATTTTGTCAAACACTAAAGGAAGAAAACATACCAATTTTATAAAAAAATGTTTAAAAAATAGAGGATAAGGAAACACTTCCTAACTTGTCTCATGAGTACAGTAAAACCCCAAAGAGAAAAATCTGACAAAGACATTTGTAAGAAAAGTAAATTACAAATATTCCTAATAAACATAAATATAAATATTTGCAAATTCAATCTAGAAATATATTTAAAAACACATCACAACCAAGTGGGTTTTAACTCAGAACTTTCCCAAACATGAAAACTTCTACTCTTAAAAAAAAAACTAAGAAAATGAAAAAACGAGCAACAGTGACAAAATATTTAACTACCTGACAAATACCTTATATCCAGAATATGTAAAGATCTCTTATAATTCCACAAAATAAGACAAATGCAAACAAACAAAGAAACCCAGAACAAACAAAAAAATATGGGCCAAAGACTTGAACAAAACATGAGAAGTTAGATATCTTGATTCTTAAGAGTATTGACTTAAGTGTTTAAAATCAATAGGACAATGTTACATTTCCTTTACCAGCCAAACTATATTTGAATCTACTTATTTTTTAAACCTTCGTCTAAGACTGTATGATCTTTGATTATTATATTTTATGTATGTATGTAACATTTTCTGCAAGGCAGTCACTCAGCAATATTTTCAATTATTATATTTTTTTTTACTAGACTTTAAGATACTTGGGAGTAGGGATCTTGTCTCTCATTCACCATTGTACAACCATCATATAGCACAGTGCCTGGAATACAACAAATATTCAAAAATATTTGTTAATGAGTATATTAATGAAGATAGAGAATAACATCAAGTTTGGAAAGAGTGGTTTAAGCAAATGGCATTCCATTAAAATATGAATAGCATTCTCCTATGACCCTCTTTTTTCTCATTGTACCCATCTTTACCTGACATAATATAGTATGTGAATAATTTGTCTAAATGGATAGATATATGATAGAGAGAGATAAAAAATACAAATACAGATAGAAATTTCTAACTCATGTCTTTCCTACTAGCATGTTTTATCTTCTGAATGAACTTGAAATAAAGAAATGCCTATGAGATTGCAGAGACTCATGGGTAGGAACCAATCTTTTCCCATTTACTCAAATGAAATGTGAGAAGGTAAAATCTATAAAAGAATAAAAGAAGATTACAAGTGAATAAAATATGACAGAAGTTATTTTAGAAAATACATTAAAATATCTTTAAACATTGCTAAAAATAGTTCTTTGATTAAGTGCAGATTATTAAAAAGCACCTCAAATCAATTTAAGGATTACTATTTAATTTTCTCAATACTGCTGATAAAAATAAAATGTTTAAATGAGTATATTAAATATATATGGATATGAAATATTTTAGGGCTCAAAGTTTATACTGTCTTTTAAAATATATCATATTTATGACAGAATGTCACTCACAGCATGCTAAATATTTCCAATGAGGTCTCTGGAAACACTAATACAAGATATTCAGGGTGGCTTTCAAGGTATTTAAAAAAAATTAGTGTACTATATTCAGAAGATCTTTCCATATATGTATATATGTGTATATATACATATGTTTGAATATATATATATATAACCATGCACAATTATAATACAAATATGCACATATATATAACAGCAGTATTTTTCTAAAGAAGTCTCTTCTTCATTCAACTATCCATCACTTTTGGATTGTAGGTTGTAATGAGAGGAATAATTAAAATTATAATTAAATACCTAACATGTATTTGAGTGCTCACTATATGCCAAGAACTGTTTTACCCCCTTTGAATATATTCCAACAGTAAGTCTTTGACAGAGGGACTTTATTATCTTCATGTTAAAAATGAGAAAAGAGGCCCAGAGGGTTTAGGTAATCTGTCCAAGGTCACACAGAAAGGGAGGAAGCTGGGATTTCAACTGACACAGTCTGGTTCCAGGGCTTGCACTTCAGCAAATAAGCTCTCAAAAGGAGAGATTTCAACAAAGGGCGAAATATTTATGATCAATAGGAAAGCTAATCTTAATAATGTGACCTTCAATAACTAGATTACCTTTTTTTCAGATCCTTTTATGCAGATTTGATCTACATATTAAATTTTGTTGTTGATTCTTATTTAAATAAGTATGAATTACTGACAGTATAAAAACAAAATCTTTACTACCTAGGCATGAGGTGAGAGGTATGCTATATGTCTACAGCATTTTTTTGAAATTTTCCTCATTTTTAAATGTATTACTTTTGTTATAAATAGTAAGATAATATGATATTTTAAATTTTATTTTTTGGAACTTGGGATTAATACATTATTAAAAGCATAATTTTAATTTTGCTTGGTCATATATTAAAACACTGAACTTATTTGGAAAATATGATGTAGAATAAATACTAAATTTCTTTGAAATCTAATATAGAATAATCAAAAGTAGTTTTTAAATATCCATATCCATTTTGTAATATACAATTTTTCTTTAATTGTACGTATACAAGTCCTTTTTGAAATCTAGCATTTATATTCTAATACATTGATATCATCTTTCTAAGGGAAGCTAAATAAAAATGTAAAACCTATTTTCTTTCCTAAGCATGTTTTACCCAATTTTTACCCCAAATTTAAAAAGTGTTATATAGTATTTTTT